GGAGATGGGAGCATGTGTGCCCTCTAAAGGCATATGTGCCTTCCTGTGTGTGTATCCCATGATGACGCTGCCTCTCGCCCTGGACTACATCCAGGTGGGCTTCAACCTACTGGCTAGAGTCGTGCTGTGTCTGAACTGATGGCTTGGGCCAGACAAAAAAAGATTTATGAAAAACTTGAGAAAGCTTCCTGGTTCTCTAAAGTCAGTCCCATCTGGGTTCATAATGGGATAGAATCTTTGTTTCTCACTTGGTACCTGAAAAGTTAAGGGGTAAAAGTGAGTACTATGGCTCCTGGCTAAAAATCTATGTGTGATGTTTCAGGCCTGACCATAGGCAATAAAAAAGGCTTTAGCTGGCAGGTCTTAGAGGGAAAGCTGTCCTCCCTACCTAGACTTGGTGCTCAACCCCAAATGGTATAGAGAAGTGACATCCAACAAAGTTGTGCAATGGGCCATGGACATGTAGTTTACCATCCAGAATGGACAACGGACAGAAGCCTTGCACCCCAAAGATTCCCTGATAACAGGGTGGGAACCGAGTCCCATTCTTCTCATTAGGGAACTTTCCTCCTTGTTGTGGGTACACAGAAAACTTTCTGTGTCATGCTCTGCTTATGCATGTCATATGGGACCTGGCCAATCTCATTTCTTTATCTCTTCCTAGCAGGAAGGGAATAGAGTCTCTCAACTGGCACGGGGAGGGTGCATGCAGACTATCACAGCCCTGCCTCAGCTGCAAGGAGTGATTTGTTGGCCACAGGGAATCGGTGCTCATAGTTGAGGCTGCCCCTGCTTTGTATTTTCTCCATGTGAGTAAAGCAATATTCTACCCAATGCTTGTGTATAAGTCATGCTTTTGTTGGCAACCCTGACCGTGGCTCAAAAGTTTAGCACATTCAGCAGAACTGACAGTGGCTATATAAAGTACCATGCTTTTTGTCATGGAAGTCAAGAAAAGGGAAGAAGAGAATGAAGGCTGAGCCTTATAACAGAGTGGACAAAGAGTGCCAGAGAGACAGTAATGCTATCAAAGTAAAGAAACTAATGATGGCTTAAACCAGACCTCCCTTTAGCATTTTAGAATAAATCCACCAGAAAGAATCAGATGCTCTTCTTTTCGTATCTTTACTGATACCCTTTTTTCCTTCAATGTGACCTCAGTTCAGCCAAGGCAAACTAACCAAACCCACTGCTACTGAGTTGATTCTGACTCATGTTGTTGTTGTTGTCAGGTGTCGTTGAGTCGTCTCTGACTCATAGTGACTATGCATTAGCAGAACAAAACACCTCCCAGTCCCATGCCAGCTCTGTGATCCCTGCTACTCTTGAGCCCTTCCCTGTAGTCACTGTGTCAGTCCATCTTGTTGAGGGCCTACCCCTTTTTCATCAACCCTCCACCTTATCAAGCATGACTTCCTTCTCCAGGGAATGGTCACTACTGACAAAATGACCAAAGTAGATAAGACGAAGTCTGGCCATTCTCGCTTCCAAGGAGCGTTCCGGCTGCACTTCCTCCAGGACAGACTGGTTAGTTCTTTTAGCAGTCCATGGTACTCTCAGCATTCTTCGCCAGCACCACAACTTTTTCAAAAGCATCAACTCTTCTTTGGTCTTCTTTATTCATTGTCCAGCTCTCACATGCATAGGAGGTCATCGAAAATATCATGGCTTGTGTCAGGTGCACCTTAGTCTTCAAGGAGACATCCTGGCTCTTCAGCACTTGAAAGAGGTCCTTTGCAGCTGACTTGCCCAGTATTATAGGTCGTCTGATATCCTGACTGCTGCTTCCATTGGTCGTTTGTAGAACTAAGCAATGTGAAGTCTTTGACAACTTCAGTCTTTTCTCCATTTATCATGATGTTGCTTATAGGTCCAGTTATGAGGATTTTTGTTTTCTTTACACTGAGATATAGTCCATACTGCAGACTGTATTCTTCATTCCTCATCAGTAAGTGCTTCAAGTCATCTTCACTTTCAGAAAGCAAAGTTGTGTCGTCAGCATATCGCAGGTTGTTAATGATTCTTCCTCCAATCTTCATGCCACGTTCTTCTTCATATAGTCCAGCTTCTCAGATTATTTGCTCAGCATATAGATTGAATAAGTATGGTGAAAGTATACAATCCTGACACACTCCCTTCCTGATTTTAAACCATGCAGTGTTCCCTTGTTCTGTTCGAACAACAGCCTCCTGGTCTATGTACAGATTCCTCATGAGTACAATGAAGTGTTCTGCAATTCCCATTCTTCTCAATGTTATCCACAATTTGTTATGATCCACACAATCAAATGCTTTCGCAGAGTCAACAAAATACAAGTAAACATCTTTCTGGTATTCTTTGCTTTGAGCCAAGGTCCTTCTGACATCAGCAATGATATCCCTCATTCCTTGTCCTCTTCTGAATCCAGCTTGTACCTCTGGAAGTTCTGTCAATATACTGCTACAATCGTTTTTGAATTACCTTCAGTAAGATTTTACTTGCATGTGATATTAATGATAATGTTTGATAATTTCCACATTGTGTGGGATCACCTTTCTTTGGAATGGGTACAAATATGGATCTCTTCCAGTCAGTTGTCCAGGTAGCTGTCTTCCAAATCTCTTGGCATAACTGAGTGAGTGCCTTCAGTGAGGCATCTGTTTTTGAAACATCTCAATGGGTATTCCGTCAATTCCTGGGGCCCTGTTCTTTGCCAATTCCTTCAGGGCTACTTCAACTTCTTCCTTTAATACCATTGGTTCTTGATCATATGCCACCTCCTGAAATGGATGAAGGTCGACCAGTCCTTTTTGGTATAGTGACTCTGTGTATTCCTTCCATCTTTTTTGATGCTTCCTGTATCATTCAATATTTTGCCCATAGAATCTTTCAATATTGCAACTTGAGGCTTAAAGATTTTCCCTCAGTTGTTTCAGCTTGAGAAATGCCAAGTGTGTTCTTCCCTTTTGGTTTTCTAACTCCAGGTCTTTGCACATTTCATTATAGTAATTGGCTTTGTCTGTGAGCTGCTTTTTGAAATCTTCTGTTCAGCTTTTTTATCTTGTCATTTCTTCCATTTGTTTTAGCTGTTGTTGTTATGTGCTGTCGAGTCGGATCTGACTCATAGCAACCCCTCCTTGGATTTCTGAGGCAGTATCACTACAGAAGTAGATTGCCTAACCTTCCTTCTGAGTGGCTGGTGAGTTTGAACTGCCAGCCTTCTGGTTAGCAGTCAGATGCCTTAGGCACTAGGCTACCAGCGCTCCCTTGTTTTAGCTACTCTCTCTTCAAGGGCAAGTTTCAGAGTCTCTTCTGACATCCATTTTGGTCTTTACTTCTTGTCTTTTTAATGACCTCTTGCTTTCTTCATGATGTTCTTGATACCAATCCACAATTCTTCTGGTTTTCAGTCATTGGTGTTCAATACATCAAATCTATTCTTTAGATGGTTTCTAAATTCAGGAGGGATATATTCAAGATCATATTTGGCTCTCATCGACTTGTTTTAATTGTCTTCAAGTTGAACTTGCATATGAGCAGTTGATGGTCTGTTTCACAATCAGCTCCTGGTCTTGTTTTGGCTGAAGATACTGAGCTTTTCCATCACCTCTTGCCACAGATGTACTCAATCTGATTCCTGTGTATTCAATCTGAAGTTCACTTGTATACCTGCTGTCTGTGTTGTTGAAAAAAGTTATTTGCAATGAATAAACTGTTGGTCTTGCAAAATTCTATCATGCGATCTCCAGCATTATTTCTGTCACCAAGGCCAAATTTTCCAACTACTGGTGATTCTTCGTTTCCAACTTTTGCATTCCAGTCACCAGTGATAATTAACACATCCTGATTGCATGTTCAGTCAATTTCAGACTATAGAAGTTGATAAAAATCTTCCATTTCCTCATTTTTGGCTTTGGTGGTTGGTGCAAAAATTTGAATAATAGTCATATTAGTGACTGACTCATAGTAAGCCCGTTGGTTTTCCGAGGTGGTAAATCTTTACAGAAGTAGACTGCCTGGTTTTCCTTCTGTGGAGGGGCCGATAGGTTGAACTGCAGGCCTTCTGGTTAGCAGTCAAACACCTTAGGCACTTCACCACCAGAGCTCCCAAAGTAAACCTGGGCATAGCCAATTTGAACAATTTTACTCATATACCTGTGTACTTGTTTCCTTGCTCCACTCACTAGATAAACCAAAGAGTTACAAAGAGATGTTTAAAGAAAAAAAATTCTGTATTTGGAACACTGGTGTATCATCGGCACAGGTTCAGAAGCTTAGCTTTGGCTAATAAAGCAAACCTGACTTTGGGATAATATTCACCACCTCATGACTGCTCAAAGCAGCAAATTCCTAGCACTACACCTTTAAGGAAAGGTTTTTACTTTATACGACTATTATATGTCAATGCTATACACTTTCTTTTTGACAATGCTAAAATTTATTTAAACTACAGACAACTATATGCGTGCTTTTCAGGAGGATGGGCTGGGGAGACATTCCGCACTCTTGATGTTTTCTTCCACATGGAGTACTAGCCTCCAGGGGAGGAGGGAATTCTATTGACTGGTAAATTTTTGGGCAAGAACTGGGCATGGGGAGCTTAAGTCGTCCCTTTTCTTCCCTTTCTTCTTTAAGCACCCTGCCATAAATTTTACAGGGGCTGGTTCTCATGAGCACTGGTTGAGGCTGGGTGGGAAAATTCAATTGAGAAGAATTCAGAAGTACACGGTTATAAAGTCTTTGCTGCCAGGCACCTAAGCCAGGCTTGCTGACAACTCTAGTAGTAACAAAACTCACATCTTAATCTCTGGTTGCTTTGACTTACTATAAACTGGTTCTAAACAGAGGGAGAGAAAAGTGATGTGTTGTAATCAGCCCCCTCAGAGCCCCAGTATACACTTTTAATTTATGTCAATCTGATCCCACTAGAGATGTAATTGCTCAACTACAAAAAGTACTGAAAAACTTTTATCATGAGTTGCTATAACCTACATCACAATTTTGCCTCTTTTCTAAATTACCTTATAGTCTTGTCCAGATTTACTCTGTAGTGTGGAAGAAACATTCAGACAGACAGACTGAATTTTGCGAAAGAGTCCTGGTTTAGATCCATGCTGAACCACTCCCTCTACCTTTAGTGCCAGTTGCTGGTTGTTCTGGACAGCGATGGGCTCTGCTGGGTTCCGGGGTGATGGTGACAGAGCAAGCTGGAATACCAACATTAAAGTCAATGCCAACAACCAAGGGTAATCTCCTCCCAACAAACAAGTCTGTGTGAATCACTGGTTACTGGTTAATAAACACTAAAACATACAATACAAACAATGGGACTGGGCTGGGACTAATAAGATGTACCTTTAAAGTAAAGGGTTCTTTGTGCTCAGTTAAAAAAAAAAAAAAAAAAAAACAACAACCCACTGCCATTGAGTTGATCCTAACTCATAAGCGACCTCATAGGACCGAGTAGTACTCCTCCAGAGGGTTTCCAAGGCTGTAAATCTTTATGGAAGCAGACTGCCTCATCTTTGTGTTGTGGAGTGGCTGGTGGGTTTGAACTCCCAACCTTCTGGTTTGCAGCTGAATGCCTCAACCACTGAGCCACTAGAGGTCCTTTTTTTATCCCCAGTAAGTCCTTTTAAAAACTATTGTGCTTTCTACCCCAATTCTCAATTCTACTGGAGAGTAACAGAAGACCAGAGAACAGTGAAGGCACAATGTTCTCCCAATTTTTATGGTGGAGCATTTCTTTGACACTGACATGCTTCCAATAAGGAAATGGACTATGTAAACTTTCATGTTCAGCTACTGTCTCTTTGGTCCTAAGTAATCTTAAATAAACTAAATGTGAATAGAAAGGAACTTAAAATTCCATGATTATTTACATAATCAAGTCACCACAGCATAAAAGTCAATATCTACATATGAATTAAATGACATTTTTAAACTTTTCATTAGTTTTAAAAAAAAATTTAAAACTATATTAAAAATCTCAAATACCTCATACTACAACTACAGAAAGTCTAAAATCAAACCAAACCCACTGTCATTCAGTTGATTCTAACTCACAGCAACCCCCACTGATTTCTGAGGTGGGAAATCTTTACGTATAAGTAGACTGCCCTATTTTCCTTCTGTGGAGTGGCTGGTGGGTTTAAACCACCAACCTTCTAGTTTGCAGTCAAATGCCTTAGGCACTGCATCACCAGGGCTCCTTACAGAAAGTCTAAGACTTGCTAAATGAAAAGAGAAGTAACTTGGGGTATTTAAATAATGTTATCCATCACTGAACTAATCAATCCTAGAGATAGCTAGATCATCATTTTCCTTATTATTCATGTATTTTGAAATGGTGTACTCTATTATTTGTAATCAAAAGCATTTGGATGGATACAAAATGAATCAAAGACATTTACTGACAAGGATAATCTAGGAAATCTCCCAGAAATGATAATTTTCCCCTTTCCCAACAATTCCATTCTTTGAACCAAAATAGCTTTTGAATTTTGAGTGGGTTTAAATATTTTTAAATATTAACCCTACTTATTGGTCAGCTCCTCAAACTTGTTTCTCAAAGAGAAAATTTCTTTAGTGGTGGGACTGGTGATTTTTTTACTGAACCTGATTCATTCTAAGTTGGTTCTGAATAGGTTTATCAGTAATGGAGTCAGCTCAAGATCCTTACAAGCTACAAGGATGAAAACCTCTCAACTCACTCCTAGAAATTAGAGGCAAGGGACACAGCTCCAGTTATTCAAATACCTGTCTCTCTGCATTTGGCACTGACAATTACAAAGGGAGAGGGTTTAACTCCCCAAACGAGCTCTGGGGGCACAATGGTTAAAGCATTGGGCTGCTAACCAAAAGATGAGTGGTTTGAACCTACCAGCTGCTCTGTGGGATAAAGATAAGGCAGTCTGCTTCCATAAAGATTTACAGCATTGGGCACCCTATCTATAGAGAAGCTTTGAGTCAGAACTGACTTACTTGATGCCTGGGCTTGGTTTTTAACTCCCCAATCATATCCCCCTCACCTAACCAAAAGGAAAAAAGGCTTACAACTAGAGTTAAGTGGAGCTATGCCCCATTTAATCTTTAAAGGCTAATTGAGTTTTTAACCTCAGTATTCTACCTTACCTTAATGCTAGTCGACTGCAATTTCTGGAAGAAATATCTTTGAAATGAAAGGGGAACTTTCAGCAGAGCAATGATGGCATTGCAGAGGCATGCTGTATGCTGGGGGGAAAAAGAAAACCAAATCAAATGAAAATAAATATTCAAATTTCACCAACAAATGGTAGTTTCAGGAAGAAGTTTAAAACTACAAACACTCATTTAGATCATTACAAAAGTAGATCAACCAGGAAAAGAGGCATAACATGTAGGGACTGTATTCATCTGCCAAATCACCTACTTCAAGGAATATAATCAAAACATTTTACTTTATTTTGAAGTATATTCAACAACAAATGACAGAAGATAAAAAGATCCCCACTCCTCAACAGGCATATTTTATATATTTACAGAGCTTAGAGCTACTACATAGATTGTACTTAATATACTAAAATACAGAGTAACTATCTTATGGCAATAACCCGTTGCCTTCAAATCAATTGTGACTCACAGCAACCCTATGGGACAGAGTAGAACTCCTCCATATGGTTTCAAAACTGTAAATCTTTATGGAAACAGACTGCCACATCTTTCTACCATGGAATGGCTGGTGGGTTCAAATTGCTGATCTTTCAGTTAGCAGCTCAGTGCTTTAACCACTGCTCCACGAGGGCTTCTATTATAATTATTTTAGATATTAAAATGTAGAGTAACTATCCCAAGGTAGAGATAAAGATAAAGAATATCGTAAAAAAGCAAGAGTAGCAGAAAGACCTTCAAGGCCTGACACCAAATCCCATGCAGAATGTCAGCTTTGAGCTGTCTCATTTCTTTATCCATCCCCACTAGGTGGCTTTCTTGTCTCTGTGGTCACAGGTCACAAGTGAATAAGCAAAGGTAGAAACTTAGAAGAATTCAGGAGCTTGATTAAAATACCATATTTCTAAAATCGATTCTACAAGTTTGCTGAGTTTTGAAAATCCAGAGTAACTGCAGAACAACAGAAATACTACACCGAATCCTTTTGAGTCTTGGTAGTGAAAGGAGTCACAGAATCTGAATTCAGGGGTTCAAAGATATCTTAAACATCACCTAGTCTAATCCTCCATTTTGCTGAGGGCATAGGTAATGGAACGAGCTGGAACTAGAACCTAGGTTGCCTTCCTCTAACTTCAGTGATTTGGTTCTAGTTCATCAATGATTTACAAACAATAGAGAAAGAAGAAAAATATCATCAGAAGACTCATAATTTTGAGTGACCCAGATCCTTTCTGTACTTCATCCCCTCAGTCTGTTCTATTCTCAGTGGCACCACAGGTTGAAAACCACTGCACTGTAGTATGCTGTCTGTCCTATTAAGTCCTGCTTTCAAGCAAGATGCCACCTAGAGTCCATTCTACAAATATTTTTTTAAAAGTTGGACATCAAGATAAAAGCCAGAAGAATCTATTCCTCATTTGTTTTAGGCAGTTCAGCATTTTGTGCCCAATAATGCCAGGTCGATTTCTTGAGATGCCATATAAAGATATGGGTTCTATTTCTTCAGGTTTAACTGCTAAAGCGGCACTATTCATTTTCCTGCACCAAGGAATCTGGGAAGCATTTGCAGTAACATTCTACCTGTGGTGGAACCTCTGATGTCACCATATTTAAGGAGAAACATCTTTAAAGGGGGCACTTAAAAGACCACAAATGACTTCAAGATTGCTTCCCTGGCAGAAAAGTCACCCTTCTATCTTTGAAAAGAATGGATGCAGGTTTTGCAATTTCCCATCACAATACAAGCTGCCTCTGAGGCCATTAGCACCTTGGGCATATTGCCACAGATAGCTTAGTTAGCAGATTGCTATTAAAGTTAATAGTCTGGAGATGGGAAATCACACATCACTGATTAGTCAACCAGCAGGAGAACTAGCTCAACACAAAGACTATTCAAACTGTCCAATCTAATAGATATTGTTATGGATTAAATGGTTTTTCCCCAAAATGTGCTAGAACACTAACCGCTATGCCTGTGCATGCAATCCCATCTGGGAACAGGGCTGTATTTACTATGTTAATGAGACATACCAGGTAGGGTGTGTCTTAAGCCAATCATTCTTGAGATATAAAAGGAACAGATGAGGCATAGAGCAGATGGGGGATGACAGATGGGAAGAAGATGGTCAAGGAACTGAGGAGCAGAAGCTAAAAGACACATGGACCTCCCCCAAGGACCTATGGAGAAAGTCTTCCCTTAGAGCAGGTGCTCTGAATTTGGATTTCTAGCCTTCTAACTGTGAGAAAATAAATTTCTGTTTAAGCCACCCATTTGTGGTATTTCTATTATAGCAGCACTAGATAACTAGGAGAGAGATATTTCATTTTTTGACATTTCTGTTACCTGATAATGTTGACCATTCTTCCATGAAATAATACTTGAAAGTCCATACCTTCACTTTTTTCCCGATTTTCCCCTTCTCCATCTTCTTTTCTAAGATCCTTTCCCTTTGTTTGTTCCTTAAATGATGACTTTCCCTTTAGCCATCTTCTCTTCTCAATCTATATGTGTTAACAGGCAATTTTCTCTACTCCTATGATTTTCAGAGTCTCTATGTCTCTATGCTCATCAGGAGCTCTAGTGGCATAGCACCTAAGGCATTTGACTGCTAACCAGAAGGCTGGAGGTTCAAACCCACCAGCTACTCCTCAGAAGGAAGATGGGGCAATCTACTTCTGTAGAGATACCACACCTCAGAAACTGAAGGAGGGGATGCCATGAGTTGGAACTGACTCTACCACAGTGAGTTTGGTTTTTGGTTATGCTCATGGTGATCTCACATGCATCCTTGCCCATCTCTTTCTTCTGACACCAGACCTATTATCCAGTTGCATACCAGAGGGCTTCATCAGGCCACACACTCAACAATGAAACCTGCAGCTTCTTCTACCATCCCTTGACAATCTTTGTCTCAGTAAAGGATCAACCACTTGCACACATGGTCACGCAAGCTGGAAACATGGAAGTCATGTTTCCATACCCTCATGTCTAATGTTTAAAAAAACAAAATTAAGCCTTGATAATATTTCCCCTAAATATCTTTCAGATGTATATTTTCTTCTCATTTTCACTGTCACCATATTAATTTAGCCTTTGTCTTGATTACAAGGCTTGTAGCCACTCTTCATTCCTGTAATTTCATGCCCTTCAAGCCATTACCTATTCTGCTTCAATATAACTTACTAATGTACAACTGTATCTTAACCACTTCCTTCCCCGACCCATTTAAAATTCCCAGGAAGCTTACAGTGCTATAGAATAAAGTCCAAACTCAACACTGTACACAAAGCCTTTTGTCATTTGGTCTTTGCCTATCTCTCTAGTCTCTAGCCTCTACTTTAAGCTGTGGCAATAACAAACAGTTTCCAGAATACTTCAAAGTATTTTATGCCTCTGCTTTTGAACATCATGTTCTCTGCCTGAAATTCCCTACTCTGGTGCAGTGAATTACTTAATATGGCTCCTCTAGCCATGGTCTTTGTGACTCCCACCAGATAACTGGGTTTAACTATGTATACGTGAGACACTTGTGGCCCACCAAGGGGATTAGAAAGCTTGTCAATAATGTAAATAAGGTACATGACACCCTTGTAGGGTGGGACCATGCAAATAATGTGCATGAAATCCTAACATGGGGACTGGTCAGTTTTGCCATCCCAGAGGCAGAAAAAAGGAGATGTCACTGCCATCAAAGAAAAGAGGCAGGAGTGGAGCCAGTTCTTGGACCCAAGATCCCTGAGCTGAGATGGCAGAGATGGCAGCAGCAGAGGCAGCAAACCAAGAGATCAGCATGAGGCAGAGTAGTGGGCTTCCCAGCCCACAAAGCAAGAAAGCCGAGTACCTTCGGCCTGAGGCTTGCTCGTGGAGTAAGGTACTTCTTTGGGTGCCTTTGTAACACTGGCTTGAGCAGAGGCCAGAGAGAGACGTTTGCCTATGGCATGGCTGAAAAGAAGCTGTCCTGATTGAAGAACTGTACCCTGAGTTGTTTCTGATGCTGAATTGGAACCTGTTACTTCCCTAATAAACACCATTATTATGAGTATCATGTGTTAAGTTTTGTATGGCCACTACAACAAATTATCAAACCCAGAAGAGTAGTAGTAGAAAGTGCTGTGGAAGGGACAGCTGGTGGCAGAACTGGCAAAAAGGTTAGAGGGTAGTGGCATGTCTGACCTCTGCCTCATAGGAATCAGCCTTGGGCTGATGCTGATTCTCTCCCTATGTCATAGAGTTAGAGGAGGTCAGAAGGTAACACTGCCCCCATGCCCTTTTTGCACCTATCCCTCTTTATCTGCCTGGAAAACTCATATTCAAAGACACAGTCTATCTGAATTTCACCCTCATCCTGTTTCCCTATCCTTTGACATGGTTCACTCACTTTCTCTCTGTGCTACATTTCTGTCTTTTGCAGAGTTGTAGTATTGCTTCTTTAATGTACCACATTTACTGAATCTTTCCTTTTTTCAGACTATGGACAACTTGAAGGAAGGCTCTGTTTTTGTCATTTTTCATCCCTAGATCTAATAAATACTTCTGGAACTGAATTTGGGGTTCAGATGGTATTGAATCTATGAAATACAATTTCAGAAGGGAGCAAAGAGGAATTAATTTTTATTGTTGTTGTTGTTATTTGCCCTTGAGTCGGCCCCGACTCATAGCGACCCCTCCTTGGGTTTCCGAGGCAGTATCACTACGGAAGTATTAGCCACTCCTTATGTGCCAAGTACTGTGCTAGGAAATATGTATTATTTTACTTAAACTTAAACTATAATACCTATAAGATAGGTATTATTTCCATTTCATAAAAAAGAATGTTAAGTAATGTGTCTAAAGTTACAGACCTGCCAAGTGGCAAAGTTAAGAACTTGAACTTAGTTCTGAATAACCTAGGCTCTGTGGGGTATACAATTAACTTTATCTAAGGAATTTGATCTTTGTTTCTGATTTCTGGGAGGTAGTATTTAAATTCTTAAAAATTCCCCAGTGATTGGAGCCTTTGTGTCTTTGTTATTCATAGAGGGGGTACAAATCACACCTGACAGGTTATCCTACAGGTGGTAACTCTTGGTTGAATGACCAGAATGACCCACATTTTATCAGTCTGACACTCTTGGTTGAATGACCAGAACGACCCACATTTTATCAGTCTGACACCCCCCTTCTTATCCCCAGCAAAGAACATTCAGTAAAAACTCTGTGGTAAGCTTCCTGGTTGGTAAAAAAAAAAAAATCAACCCTCAGGACGGTGAGGCATCCCTTGGGACATGGAAGTTACACACTGGAGACCCTTTCAGACTTTGCCTTATGTGTCTCTTCATTTGTTTTCTTTTTTGCTATAATAAGACTGTAATTTTAAATGTTTTCTTGAGTTCTGTGACTTGTTACAGTGAATTACTGAACCCGAGAGGGTAAGTGGGAACCCTTGAATTTATAGCCAGCAGAGCATAAGTAAGGATGTGTGGGGACCCCAAATGTAGGTTGACATCTGAAGTCGTGGACAAATGTGGCAGTCTGGGGTGCTGAACCATTAATCTTGAGATGGGAACTAACTATGGTGATTAAAGTCAGAACTGTACTGCAGATGGTGTCAGAAAAGATCTTTAGTGTGTGTTGAGAAGACAACACACACATGGAAACCTCTTAGGTTCTTTTCTCCATGCTCTATCTCCTCTTAATCAGAAATTTCCCATTGTCTCCATTAGAGTCAATGGACTTAGCTCCATCCGACTGAACTTACTGTTTGGCATCTGTTTAATTCATGCCTTTAAGTGGAACTTAAAGAGATATGAAAATAATTTAATCACCCTCTCACACAGATCTGTGTTCTTCAAAGAGAGTCTTCACAATCTCCCTTAGCAAATAATCTCAGCGTCAAAGCTATCTACGTCCACTGAATTCAACAGTATGTACCGACCATCCTACCTGAAAAGCAGTATGTCAAAGAATCCCTTAAATCAAAACTGATTCTTAAACAATATATCCTACTAATTTCTTCTAAAAAACCTGATAAAAGGTAAGAGCACAGAATGAGAAGAGCAGGAGCCAAGGGAGAGCTACATATAACATCAGCATATAATGTGCAGGCAGGGGAAGAGAAACTCTCCAAGGTGTAAAGTTCAAAGAAGACTGGGGAATGGACAGACAGGGAAGAGCAAATCTGACTGAGAGTCTGTTAGTCTACACTATAACTAAGAAGTCAGGGGAAAAAACAAAGGAGGAGTGTTCAACGGTGTTAACAGAAGAGCTTCCATAGGTTTAAAGTCAAAAAAGGATTATAAAAGGCATTAATGTTTCACTTAACAAAAACTGATTTACTGCCAACCAGTCAACAAGTCCAATTCTTTTGTTCCAATTAGCTAATGGTTCTCAACCCTGGTAGCATGAAAGAATCATCTGGGAGCTTTTAAAAATACCAACGCCTGGGTCTCCACCCCAGAGATTTGCAGTTAATTGGTCTGGGATGGGGCCTGGATATTAATGTATTGTTTTAAAAATGTTCAAAATTTCTAACATATGTATAGCCAAAGTTGAAAATTACTATAACTTTAGTTGAACTGTTAAAAAATAAAAGCAATGAAAAACAACAACAAAAAAGGTTTTACCTGCATTCCAGTAGAACACATACCACATGTTAATGTGATTATGTAGTAACCAGAGATGTACTAAGCATTTTACATGGATTACCTCATTAAATCCTCAACACAATGCTATGAGGTAGGTACTACATTAACCCTGTTTTGGAGATGAGGAAACAGGCACAAGGAGGTTAACTTGCTGGAGTCATATAGTTAGTAAGTACCAGAGATGGATAAAAATCCACTTTCACATAATAAAAACTCAATAAAACAAATGTCACTTGCCATATAAGAAACAGGGGTGTATTTTCGATTGAGTGATTCCACCTCTTCCAAGACATGATTATATACAGACATCATTCTTCTCTCATATTCACTATCAGCATGGGCTGCTCCACTAGATCCGTATTCCTGGAAACTGAAGTCAGAATTAGTATCAAATAATCAACCAAAATAGTAACTATTTAATGCCTAAATATGTCAGGCACTTTCCACACATTCTAATTTAATCTTTAAAATAATGAAGTTGGCACTGGAATTTCCGTTTTACAGGTGAGGAAATTGAGGATTAGAGAGGTTAGGTAATTTGCCTATGTAACTAGTAAGTGGCAAGCTAGAATTCAAACCCAGATTTGACTCCAAATTGTAAGTCTTAATCACTTTGGTTATCAGGTGGTATAAAAATGTTTTAAGACTTTGTGTCTGCCATGCAGTGAAAGAAACTTAAGACATCTGAAAAGGTAACTATCAATAACATGCTGAATAACTAACTAATAAACCACTTGCTGTGGAGTTGATTCCTTTCATGGAATCACGGAAATGTGTCAGAGCAGAACTGTGCTCCCCAGGGTTTTCAATGTTGATTTTTCAAAAGCAGATCATCAGGTCTTTCTTCTGAGGAGCCTCCAGGTAGACTTGAACCTCCAACCTTTGGTTAGCAGTCAAGTGCATTAAACTTACTTAGTTATTGTCACAAATTTAATTCTTCTCATTGTTGTTTGTCTTTAAATCTTTGAAATATTTGTAATAGCCATTTTAAAGTCCTAGTTTGTTAATTCCCTTGCTTCTGTCCTTTTTGAATCTGTTTCCTAACTGGCTAAAATTTTTCATGGTTATGTGTCACATTTTCCTGCTCCTTCACATGTCTAGTAATTTTTGTCCTGATGCTATAATTGTGATTCTTACATTATTGAGTTTCTGGATTTTACTGTCCTTAAAGAATGCTGAATTCTGTTTTGGTAGATACTCAAATTACTTGTACATCAGTCTTTCAGGCTTATTTAAACTTTCTTAGGACAGATCTAGAGTAGTCTTGTTTCAGGCCTAATTTAGCTCCACTACTAACACACTGTGACCCTTCTGGGGTCTTCCCTAAATGCCCTGTGTATTCAATAATGTCTCTTCAATTTTCTGGTTGGAACTCACACATTTTTCAGTTCTGCGTGAGTTCTGAGAATTGTTCCATTTACAGCTTCCTGGTAGTTATTCTCACTCTAGTAGTTGTGCTTTGCCCATCTTGTAGGGCTTCACCTTATATATGTGAAGTTTAGTATTCAAAGCACACAGACTCATAGCTTATGCAGATTTCTGGAGTTTTTTCTCTAGGAATTTTACTCTGCTTTGTAATTTCCAGTTTCCTTGTATTCTCTGAACCCTGATCTCTGTCTCTTTAACTAAGACCCTCTGTGCTGCTTGGGTTCCTTATCCCTGAGCAGCAGCCTAAAAAGTGCCTCTAGGCAGAAGGCAGGACTATTATAAGGCTTACCTCATTTGTGTGTCTTTTCTCAGACTGAGCTGTCTATTGTATGTACAATGTCTGAAATCTTGATTCTTGATTCTTAAGTTTTAATCTAGTTTTCTAGTTGTTTATAATAGAAGGGAAAGTCTAGATGCACCATCATGGCCAGAAGCCAATCTTTTTTTTTTATGCAGTAGATATATAGGTTATGTACAAAGGAATCATTAACAGAGTGAATAAGCTGAATAGAAAAAACATAACGGACAAGTATATCAAAATATATTATTTTGATAGTCCTGAAAAACTGATAATGATGTAGATAATAACATTCACAATTATAAACATCTACCTTATTCTGCCCCACATTTACTGAACATACTGGCTCATATGTTGGCTGCTGGAGACACAAAGTTGAACAAAGGAAGGTTCCTCTCCCTAAAAGCCTTCCAGGTTATGAAAGTGACAGATTTGCAAAAAATGTTTTGGTATATCAATGTAGATGCACCTCCAGAAAATAATTCTGGCCATGCCCCACCCTCTTGAGGTTCTTTTGTAGCAGTAGATCTTTCTTTATTCAGAAGGTACAGAATAAATAACACCAAGAACAGAAGTTTCAGGAGGAACCCTCTCCTTGCAGTTGTACATTATTGAAGACTAGAGACCGAAGCATTCTCATTCAAGGTAAAAACTTTCCTTACTAATTTCTTATTAGTATGAAGGCCACAGCTGGGAGATTGGATCTGGGAGAGTATATGGGGTGGAGAATTGAAAAAAGTGTAAAGAGGGAAGGGAAGGGGTGAGAGAGAAAGAGAGAGAGAGAGAGAGAAAAGGGGGTCATATGCGAGGCTGGCTAGATAACTCCCTTCATCACATCCCAGCTAACAATCCACCTATCTCCCTGGTAAAAACTCATTCAGGAAAATCATCGGGCAATCTACTTCTGCAGTGATACAGCCTTGGAAAACCAAGGAGGCGTCACTATGAGTTGGATCCCACTCGATGGCAGTGAGTTTGGTTTTTTGTTTTACGTCAATTAACAGTATAATGTTATTTGCATGCTGAAGAGATAAAATGAGCATGGCATGATCAAAGATGATGTAAGCCCATTAGTGTGAGTTATTGGAAAGACAGTGAAAGATGTGAGGGTTTAAGAAAATTTTGAAATTTAAAAGTGAGGAAGTTTCATTGGAAAAAAAAAAAAAAACAACACTATTCTGAGGGGAAGACAAACATAGATGGGAGTAGAATAAAGAAAGAAAAATCACACTGATAATCAGTACATCATTAAAACACTAAATCAGAACTGAAGATCCTGGGTAGAGTAGGAGGGAAAATGTAGAACAAAATTTAAAAACACAAAAATGACCAGTATTACTGGTTGGATGGAGTCTGGTAGAACCCCTTGACTATGGGCCTGGGATATTCTTTGGGCCTAGGATTGGACTCCCAGCCCAACAGTAAAAAGACTTAAATGCAGAACACCCACCCCAGGGCAATGCACCCACCTACTCTAGGGAGATACATCCCTTACAGCAATCAGCCATGGGGCACTAGAAGGGTAGCACTCACATGGAGGGAAAGCTGGACAGACAGGAGTGCACAGTTAAGAAGGGCAAAGGGAAGGGGTGGTCACAGGGGTAGGAGGGGAGTAAAGTGTGTATTATAGTCACGGATGGTAATCGGGGCATGAAATCAAATGTACACAAACTGTCGAATGTAAAACAAATTTGCCCTGTAAATTTGCACAATAAAAACAAACAAATAAATAAATAAAACAAAATACTAAAATAGATCAGTTGAGGGGATCAGTTGGTGGAGGGGAAAAAAAAGAAAAAGGCAAATGGCCTAGTCTGAGAGTAGCTACTGGCACTTTAAGACAGAAAGGATCTTAGTATTGCCCTGAAAAGAGATGGCAAGTCAATGCTTCAGGGGATAGAAATTTAAACTGCTTTTTTACTTTAAGATCTTTGAGGAAGCTCATTTTGGATTCACAGGCCTTACTAGATTGAAATCATAAAGGGTTGAAAATGCATAGTCCAAAAGAGATTACAATGATGGGAAAAAACAATGGATTAGTCATTAATAAAAAACACTGAATAATTAATTAATGAGGGAGCTCAGAATTTTAATAAAGAGGAGTATCTTTTTGTTTGAAAAGACACAGAATAAAACTTTCAAGTTAAAACTTAATTATATCATGAGCTTGATTTTTCGTACCAAAGTTTAGTTATATATATGAAAAATATGTTCAAATACCACAAATAACTCCCTCCCACTTAATTTCCCAAGCCTATGTTTTGAAGAGGTAAAAGGAGGTAAATAAACAAGAGAGGCGGAAAATCTAAATTTTGTCACTAGCTATGTGACGTTGAAGCAGTTACTGATGAATATCAAAGACTACAGCCTTCAGTATGGATTATACCTCAACATAAAGAAAACAACAATTGTCACAGCTGGACCAATAAGCACCATCATGATAAGCAGAGAAAAGACTGAAGTTGTCAAGCATTTCATTTCACTTGCATCCACAATCAATGCTCATGGAAGCATCAAATATCAAGAAATCAAATGATGTATTGCATTGGGCAAATCTGCTGCAAAAGACTTCTTTGAAGTGTTAAAGAGCAAATATGTCACTTTGAAGACTAAGGTAGACCTGACCCAACCATGGTATTTTCAATTGCCTCACATGCATCCCATGTTGGACAATGAAAAGGAAGAATGCAGAAATATTGATGCATTTGAATTATGGTGTTGGTGAATAATACTAGAATAAGCAAATCTGTTTTGGAAGAAGTACAGCCAGGATGCACCTTAGCAGTCAGAGTGGCCAAATCTCATCTCTTGTACTTTAGGCATATTATCAGAAGAGACCAGTCCCTGAAGAAGCATATCATTCTTGGTAAAGTAGAGGGTCAGCATAAAAGGGGATGACCCTCCACAAGACGGATTGATATAGTGGCTGCAAGAATGGGTTCAAGCATAGAAATGATTGTGAGAATGGCACAGGACCAGGCAGTGTTTTGTTCTGTTGTACACGGGGTTATTGTGAGTCAGAATTGACTTGACGGCACCTAACAACAACAACAACGTGACCTTGGACAAAAGCTGGAGGAGCTCTTCCTCTATTGTTTCATCTCCTATAAAGCCTCTTTCAAAAGCATCCTTGTGATGATTACGTTAAGATACCATTATTTCAAAGTGTTTTGTAATACAAACTATTACTAGAATTACCTTGCTGATTCTGGATCCAAAATCAAGGCTTCTATTGCATGAGATATCAATAAACAGCTTTGCTGCTGTCTGGATGAATGTTAAAGTTATACATGAAACTAGAGAAATCTACTATAGATTTTATATTATTGAAATATTAAATGCGGTGGTATTTTTAATTAAGGTAACCACAATGTATTAACTCAAATGGTCTAAGGCTCTATTTTCCTTTTAGGGACATATGCTGTCTATGACAGTGATTCTCAGACTGTTTCAGGATAAGAAACATCAGATATAGGGGATTCTTTTTAAGAGTATGAAACAAACAAAAAAGGCTTCACTGATAAAAGTTGTATGTGTGAGAGAGAGAATCAATGATCTATAGCATGCCTTTACCTCAGAGGTTCCTAAGCTGGGACTCAAAGGTCTATCACCACCATTCCCTGAAATTCTGCACAAATGTTTTGGGGATATAGATATGGATACACACACACACATTTTTTAAGAGAGAGGGTCCATAGCACTCATTAGGTTTTCAACCAGTAAACCAAAACGCCATAAACTACTATACTTATTTATAGATCCTACAACTTAAAAGGGAGAGCTATGGTGGCTCTCCCAGCCACTCCTCAGAAGGAAGATTGAGCAATCTACTTTCATAAAGATATTGCCTTGGAAACCCAAGGAGGGACTGCTATGAGTTGAAAAAGATTTTGAGGCTTCCAGTAAGAAAATATGGAGAAAAAAACCAAAAATGATGACTATAATTATTGAAAGGATCATTAGCAAGTGATGGGAATTAGCATTGTAGCTATGAAGAAAAGAAACATGAGGTGAAAAAGAAAATGGTTCAATGGTAGGAAAATTCACTGTGTTGTCCTTGGTAGCACAAGTTAAGTTATGTGACCTTGGTAGGACCTGGGCTTTGGATGCTCTTCCTAGAGGTCTGGAGAAAGACCAACACTGAGGCACTACTTTCTTTTCAATCTTGACAGAAATTAAAAAAGTAAAAAATATATACGCTCACTGTAGACTTTAAGGGGAAAATTATTAATTATAATAGAGTTGTAGGCTTTTGTAATATTTTATAGGTAAGCATATTAGAAGTACTTATATTTCAAAGAATACTTCCTAGGAACAAAACATTGGGGCAAACTTAGGATACAATTCTACATTCCTCAAAGTTGCTGAGTCAGCATCGAAAGATGCCTGATAAAGATCTCCATATCGAGATGCGAGGCTCCGAAATTCTTCCATGGACTGTTTCATCTACAAAGGAAAACAATGATCAATTATGACAAACAAACACACTATCACTACTGTGTGAACAACAGAAAAATCAAATCATTAAAAAACTCATCCCCAAACAATAAAAATCCAAATATCTGAATTTCTACCATCACTCCATTTTATAAAGTCCAGAAAGATGAAAAATGAAACTATAAATGTTCACAAGACACAAATTTATACATGATATACAAAAACATGACACATTTGCATTTTTAGCTTCTTCAAGTTCCACTTAAATCATATAGTTATAAATATTCCCGAGTTTCTTTAAAATATATGTCCTTTGTCTTTATATGAATGTGGTGTCTAGTGAGACATCATCAATCACTTTGTCGTCCTTTAACAACACATCAGCCTATTTCTGGCAAGACTGATGAGTTAATAAGTAGTATTTGATATTAAATGTCTGAGAGTCAAACCACCGATTTTAACTTTCAGAATTTCTCATCTCACAACTGACCTCAAAACCTCTGAAGTATAAATAAAAACTGCACTGCAACAGAAAATCCAGATATACCTGATTGGAGATGCGACCACATCTCTGAAGGTCATTTCCTAAAGTCATGGCAATTGTCGTGGCAATTGCAGGTGGTGGACTTGTCTTCAGGCTATTACAAGTACAGATAAGTTGAGAGAAGGCCTGCAGAAGGTCAATCCTGAGTTTCACAAACTCACACTGAAAACTTAAAGGATTCAGCGGTGTACTGGCAGCCTGAGGGGAGAGAATTATTTAAGACACGGTATACATAAACACAGCAAAGCCAGAAAGATGATGTAGTACCAAATATTTGTTACAATTTGTGCAAAAGAGCAACAATTTTAACACTGATAAACATAAATTATCAGATAAATTATGTTAAAAAAAGCAAAACACTGTTATTAGCATCAATTCTGAAAAACTGTATGACCCAACAACATTCAAAGGTCTCTTACTTCTTATTACATTCACAAGAAATCCTACTACATGTGGTTTGGCTAGACCACCATCAATCAGTAAGCTACCAGTGGGGCTGGATGCTGTAAAAACACCATCATCCCTCTCAAACTCCTTATCATGGTCCTACCTTTCTAACCTAAAATTCCCATCACTTGAATCATTAACTGAATTTTTAAGAAGTTATTTTGGGGTGGAGGGTGGTGTAAATAAGGGCAAAAATAAACGTTTCTAGATAATCATTGTTAAATAAAAATGCATTGCTTTAAAAAGCTTTCTTCCATTGCTAGCAGATTTTTTTTCCCCTTAAATATTGTGATTTGGGTGAAAGTTTACAGAGCAAATTCACTTTCCATATAGCAGCTCACATACACTTTGTCTCATGACACTGACTACATTTTTCCACAATGCAACAGCTCCCCTCCCACTTTCTCCCCACAGTTACCTCTTCCCTGTGTCCTTCTCTCCCATGCACTCTTGCCCCCTAGCTCTCTTCATGTGTATACACAACCTTTCTATCCTCCCATGAAGGAGTATATCTACCTAATGTAAATGTTCAGCTCGTATGCCTGTCTTTTGTTTGGCTGGAAGCCACAGGAGTGGGTTCAAGTCCAGACCTGAAGAGCAGTTAGAGGTTATAGTCTCAGTGGTTCCATCGGGCTCTATCAGATGAGCAAACCTGGTCCCTTTTTTCTTTTAATGATTTTGAGCTTTGTTCCACATTGTTCTCCCACCCTATCCAGCATCTCCTACAGAGATGCCCCTCTGAGTGGTTGACAGTGGTAGCCAGGCACCATCTAGTTCTTTTGCTCTAATAGTCGTTTGGGCTGAGGATTGCATGGTGTACCAGTTGCTAGGATTAACTGTTTACAAGCATCTTGGTTTTCTTCATTCTTCTTTCCTCTGGACAAGGAGAGATCCATCATTGCACCTAGATGGCTGCTTGCAAGCTTTTAAGATCCCACTTGCTACTTGCCAAAGTAGGACATGGAACAATGTTTTTGTGTAATATGTTATGCCAATTGAACTTGATGTCCCCTGAGACCATAGTCCCAAGCTCAAAGGTCCAACTACTCATTCCCTCTGGGTAGCTGGCTATGACCAAGAAGTGACTACAACTTTGTCCTTTGTCAGCTCTACTATATATCTGGGAATTCTTACAGAACATACAAATACACTGGTAGAAACATTTTCTGCCAACCCTATACATGGTCTTGGGCCCACTCTATCCTGCACAGACATACCAAACGGTTCAGCCTATATACCCGTCTATCCACCGGTATATTAATGTTTGCTTTCACTGACAACATAGTACTATACGTGCAAAAGGGTTCATCTTTGTTGTCTGTACCTCCCACGAACCCGTCTTCCTCTTCCTCAATGCCATCATCTTGATTGCTTACATGTGGTACACTGCCCTTGCCCTTCTCTTCACCCAAATCAATACTTTTCTCTACCTAACTGTGTTGTCCCCCTCCAACACTTAGTAAGCAAAAAAAAAAAAATGTCCTCCCTATATAAACCTTTTCTTGAGTTTTTACAGTAACGGATGTGGTAGTTACATTTGTGTGTCAACTTGGCTGGGCCTGGTTGAGTGGCTGGGCAGCTGGATGTAATATTCCCCATGATGAGACTGGTCATCAACTCCACAGTGGAATCTACTGTGAGCAGCAGCTGGATGTAATATTCCCCATGACGAGACTGGTCATCAACTCCACAGTGGAATCTACTGTGAGCAGCTGAGTAGCTGCTTTCGGGATGTGGTCTGCTTCCTGTATATAAGGAGAAGCCTTGGGGAATGGTCACTATCTTATGGCATGCTTGAACCCCTGAGTCATTGTTCAGCAACCTGCCATGCTCTGCCAACCTTGGGACATTTACTGGACTTGAATTAATGGCCTGCCGTGTGGTTTGGTAATATTGGGACTATGCCTTTTTACTTGTCAACCTAGTTTTTCCTTGAGGAACTTTATAGTTTTAGGTTTCACATTTAAGTCTTTGACCCATCTGGAGTTAGTCTTTGTGTATGGTGTGAAGTACAGATCTTGTTTCATTTTTGTGCAAATGGATATTCAGTTTTGCCAGCACCATTTATTAAACAGACAATTTCTTCCCCATTTAATGGATTTCAGCCCTTTGTCAAAGATCAGCTGACCATAGGTCGATGGATCTATTTCTGGGTTCTCAATTTTATTCCACTGGTCTATGTGTCTGTTGTTGTACCAATGCCAGGCAGTTTTGACTACTGTGGCTGTATAGTAGGTTTTGAGATCTGGCAGTGTGAGACCGCCTACTTTGTTCTTCTTCTTCAATAATGGTTTTGCTTATCCATTTCCATATAAAATTAGTGATTGTTTTTCCATACCCTTAAAGAATGTGGATGGGATCTGGATTGGGACTGTACTGAATATATACATTGCTTTGGGTAGAACTGACATTTTCACAATATTCAATCTTCCTATTCATGAGCATGGGATGTTCTTCCATTTATGTAGAGCTCTTATGGTTTCTTGAGGTAGTGTTTTATAGTTTTCTTTGTACAGGTCTTTTGTGTCCCTGATAAGATTTATTCCCAAGTATTTTATTTTTAGTAGCTATTGTAAATGGTATTGATTTCCTTATTTCTTTTTCAGCAATCTCTTTGCTGGTGTAGAGGAATCCAACTGATTTTTGGATGTTGATCTTGTATCCTGCCATGAGGCTAAACCTCTTAATTAGTTCCAGTAGATTTTTGACTGAGTCTCTTGGGTTTTCAAAGTATAGGATCATATCATCAGCAAATAGGGGTAGTTTTATTTCTTCCTTACCAATTTGGATACCTTTAAGTTCCATTTCTTGCTTTATTGCCCTGGCTAGGACTTCCAACACAATGTTGAATAGAAATGGTGATAGAAGGCATCTTGTCTGGTTCCTGTTTGCAAGGGGAAAGGTTTTAGTCTCTCTCCATTGAGAATAATGTTGGCTGTTGGTTTTGCATAGATGTCCTTTATTATGTTAAGGAATTTCCCCTTCTATTCCTATTTTGCTGAGAGTTTTGATCAGAATGGGTGTTGGATTTTATCAGATGCCTTTTCTGCATCAATTGACATGATCTTGTCGTTCTTTTCCTTTATTTATGTGGTGGATGACATTGATTGTTTTCCTAATGTTGAACCATCCTTGTATACCTGATATGAACCCCACTTGGTCATAATGAATTATTTTCTCGGTATGTTGTTGGAGTCTACTGGCTAGGATTTTGTTGAAGATTTCTGCATCTATATTTATGATGGATATTAGTCTGTAGTTTTCCTTTTGAGTGATGTTTTTGCCTAGTTTTGGTATCAAGGTAAGCTTGCTTCATAAAATGAGTTTGTGAGAATTCCATCTTTTTCTTTGCTGTGGAATAATTTGAGTAGGAATGGTGTCAGTTCTCCTCTGAATGTTTGGTAGAATTCTCCAGTGAAATCATCTGGGCCAAGATGTTTTTTGTTGGTAATTTTTTTATGGCCTGTCCAATTTCTTCTTTTGTTGTGGATCTGTTCAACTTTCCCACTTCAAGTCTGTGTTAGTTTAGGTAAGTAGTGTGTTTCCAGAAATTTGTCCATTTCTTCCAGATTTTCAAATTTGTTGGAGTACAGTTCTTCATAGTATACTGATATTATCCTTTTTATTTCAGTTGGTTCTGTTGTGATGTTGCCTATTTTGTTTCTTATTCATGTTATTTGTTATTCTCTCCCTCTTTTCTTTTCTTAAATTTGCCAGTGGTTTGTCTCAATTTGATTACTTTTTTAAAAAACCAACTTCTAGTTTTGTTGATTTTTTCTATTGTCTTTCTATTTTCTGTTTCATTCATTTCTACGCAAATCTTTATTATTTCCTTTCTTCTGGTGACTGCAGAATCTTCTTGCTGTTCTTTTTCTAATTGTTGGAAATGTTGGTTTAAAGTGTTGATTTTGGCTTTTCTTTCTTTTTTTGATGTGTGCATTTATTGCTATAAATTGACCTCTGATCACTGCTTTTGCTGTGTCCCAAAGATTCTGTTATGCTGTATTTTCATTCTCATTTGATTCAAAGAACTTTTAAATTTCATTTTTTATTTCTTCTATTACCTAGTCATTTTTGAGGAGGGTGTTGTTGAGTTTCCATGTATTTGCTCTGTTTCTGTTCATCTTCCTATTGTTGATTTCTAATTTTATAGCATTATGATCTGAGAAGACGCTTTGCAGTATTTCAATGTTTTTAAATTTACTGAGGCTTGCTTTGTGGCCTAACATATGGTGTATTCTGGAGAATGTTCCATGTGCACTGGAAAAGGATGTATATTGTGCTGTTGTTGATTGAAATGCTCTGTAGATGCATGTAAGGTCAAGTTGGTGGATTATATTATTTAGTTCTTTTGTGTCTTTCTTTCTAGTTGTTCTCTCTTTCATTGAAAGTGGTGTATTAAAGTCTCCTATTATGACTGTGGAGTCATCTATTTACCTTTTCTACCTTTTTAAAGTCTGATTTATGTATTTTGGGGCTCTTTCATGGTGTCCATACTTATTATGGTTGTATCTATATAATGTCCTTTCGTATAGGAGCTCTGGTAGTGTACTGCCTAAGGAATCTGATTGCTAACCAGAAGGCTGGCGGTTCAAACCCACCAGCCACTCCTCAAAAGGAAGATGGGCAATCTACTTCTGTAGTGATACTGCCTTGGAAACCCAAGCAGGGGTCGCTAGGAGTCAGATCTGACTCGACGGCAGTGAGTTTTTTGTTTTTTTTTTGTCTCATATGGTGGTTTCTGTCTTACA